GATAGTAAATTTTCCACATTTTTATTGTAATAGTTGAGTTTTAGGCTTACTTGTATTGGTGGGATAAGACGAGTGTCATCACGTCCATTTTTGGGTCGTGACACTCTACTTTAAGCATGGGTTTTTAATCTCATTACACAAAACTTTCTTTCTCTTTTTTCTCAATCAAACACCATTTTTTGCTTCTTGAACTGATAAGTTTTCATAAATCCTTTCAAGTTTTTATTTTTATTAATAGTTTTTTGTATTGACTGTGTCAAGAACAATGTTGGTGTATTTGCGTTTATCAAGGTTTTCGAATGAAAAAAATTGTACTTCCAAATCATGATTATTAACACTTTTAAAATTTTTTTTTTTATCAAAAGCGATATATTTTGTTGATATAAAAATTTTATGATATTTTATTAATTTAATGTTAATTTCACATGCACATTCAGATAATGAAAACAAACAGTATTAATTATTTAGTCTTTATATTTAGAGACCTCATCTTAATATTTATATGTGTATTCAGATCAAAACACTTGATTCTTAATGCAAATCTTAATATCAAATGTGTATTTAGATTTAGACCTCTTAATCTTAATTGAAATAATTGAGGCCTAAGGCTTAAGAGGAAATTATGTTTTATGTCTATGGGAAGAAAATATTTTTACTCATTTAGTATATATGTGTGTATAAACGTCTTTTGTGTTATACATTTCTAAACTAAATTGACACACTATGTATAATATTTTTTTATATTGTACTTTCTCTGTCCTTAATTACTTGTTTACTTTCGAATTGACACATCTATTAGTTACATTTCTAGTCATTTTTTTTCTTAAGATGAAATCCAAAAGGGCGATAATAATAATAGAAAAGAAGAAGATAAATGTATTAGTTACATTTCTAGTCATTTTTCCCTCTTTAAGTGGATACAAACAAACAATAATAATTATAGAAAAGAAGAAGATAAAACTATAAATTCGAATAAATAAGATTTTCACATAATGTGGGTTAATGACAGTTAAGAATGAACTTCTGTTGCTAGCCAATTTTCAAGGATTTTATTAAACTTCCACTGGATCTCCATTTTGTCTATTATTTTCTTTTTCTGTAGTTTCAATTTTATCTTTCTATCCATAAAAAATCAAATTTTGATTTTATTTAAAATGCTGAAATTTATCATTATTTGCGTAAATTGATGACATGTGTGATGAATTTTGAATTTAACATATAAAATTAATTATATAATATTTAATAATTTATAATTTAAATTCTCAAAAATTTGTGGGGTTGACATGTGGCGATTTTTCTTCTCCTATTATATATAGATAAATAGATTTGTTTTTTCTTTCCATTGATTTCAAATATTATTTCAAATGTCTTATATTTAAAAAAGGTTAATTTCGGACAGATATCAAAGTAAATGAAGAAATTTTACTAAAACATAGAAGTTAAAGGAAACTTTTTAAGAAAATTATTTGTTTTTTAATAAAATACACATAATTTTTTAAAAACAATTAAAAATGAAAAGATAGAAAATCTGAATCTAAAAAAGTTAAAGTGAGGAGGGAAATAAACATTTTACGAAGAAAGAAATAAAAACAATTGAATATGTATAGTTTTAATGCAAATAATTATATGTTTGCTAACTAATTATAAATAGAACAATTAAAAAAGGACATGTGTGCAAATATTTTGATCTTCACTTGCTTTCAAAAAAGTGCGTACATACTTTTTGTACCACATATATTTTTAGGGTTTGTATTACATTTTAAATTATTTTGAGAGTTGATAGCATCTTAGTTAAATTTAGGTGTGTCGTTCAGATTTCAATCCTAATTTATAAAGTACATGTTTAACAATTCACTTTTGCACTCCTCTTTTTATCTCTTATTGATATTTCCTTTTACTTCTCATAGAAAACAAATGCACTTTTGCTTCTTTAGTGTTTGAAATTAAGTAAAATAATTATTTTCTTGCAAAAACTATTATCAACCAAACATCAAAAAAATTCTTTCATACGATTCTTCGTGGATTCGAGAGTATTTTTGCATTGGCTTTGACAGTTTCCAGAAGCACAATAAGCCGGTGTGGTTCCAGACCAACCATCTAAACTACAACATACTCCAGTAGAACATGGTCCATTATAAACTTGCCATCCGCATCGTCCTTGTGGGAACGGTCCTGAACATTGACTTTGGCATCTATTAGGATAACAATAGATCGAGGTGGTTCCACACCAACCTGAGTCACTACAACACACTCCAGTAGGACATTTTCTACCACCAGTTTGTTTTCCGCATGGTCCTTCTGTAATTGATGGGGGTGAGGGTGGGTATGGTCTTTCACATTGACTTTGACATTTTCCACAACCACAATGATACGATGTGGTACCACACACTACAGTTGGACATGATCCATTATCAGCTTGCCATTCGCATCGTCCCTGTGGGAACGGACCTGAACATTGACTTTGGCATTTATCAACATCATAATAGTCTAATGTGTTTCCAGACCAACAAGAGTAACTATAACACACTCCTTTAGGACATTTTCTGCCACTAGCTTCCAATCCACATCGTCCCTGTGGGTACGGGTATGGACATTGACTTTAGCAATTCTCTGGAACACAATAACCTGATGATATGGTTTCGCACAAACAAGAGAAACCACAACACTGTCCAGTAGGACATTTTCCGTCACCACCTTGTGTTTGACATCCTCTTTTGAATGAATTGGTTAGACCATTGACTCTAGCAATTAGTTAAGTAATATACTTAAACTTAACTAAATTCATATTGTTGGGATTATAAAATATTACTACTTCCTCCGTTCGGTATTGTTTGTCATGGTTTTATTTATAGAGTCAAACTTTATGAACTTTGACTAACATGTTTAGATGTATTTTTTCATCGTATTGATATACAAAAAATAACAATTTATAGTACTTTTCATATAATTTGTGAATATCTAAATATTTTGTTCATAATATCGAATTAATGTAATCTTATTTAACTTTGAAAGTTAGTCAAATTGACTTTCGAAAAGCATGACAAATAAAGTGGATGGAGGGAGTATTATTTTGTAAATGTATTAGTTAATTGATAAATAAATATTTATTATTTCAAAGAATTTTCTTGAGAATCAATTTTATGACTTGGTTGGTAATTTTTGGAAGTTTTCGTAAAATTATTGTTTTACCCTTCTTGATATCAACCCTAAATCATTTTTAAAAGAGTTGTAAAACTGATTACAAGCCTTGCATAAAAATTTGTGAATTTTGCAAAAAAAATTTTAATTTGAAAAGATAAAATATATAAAAAAAAAGAATTTTTGGGTCTTTTGAAGTTTCGAGCGTCGGAATAAAATTTTCTCAATTCTGTTAGTCCCGAAATGTGAAAATTGGTCTATGAGAGTTGTCGGTTTTAAAATGTTCCTAAGAATTGAGGTCCTAAGTTGAAATTTGTTGAGATTTCAACCTTTGGGTTGACTTTCGTCAACTTTCAAGTTCGCATGATTGGATTGGAATTCTCAGAGTTCCGCTAGATTAAAGGGACGATTTTATGTCTAGGTGAGGTTTAAAATTTCAGAAGTTCCAAGCTTGATTTGTCATTTTAAGGTGATATGTCATTTCTTCTGACTTCCATCAATATCGGGTTAAGGAGACCTTAGATTCGTGTTTCGATGATTTCATTGAATTTGAACGTCGAATTTAGTCAATTTTCATATATGGTTTGTATCTACGGGATTCAAAATGAATCTTGCGAGTCCTTTCGATGTTTTTAGAGTTGATTGATTTTTTGGTGCCTAGTTTTGTACCATTTGCATTTGCGATAAGCCTTCCACTTTAGTGACCTTCGCTAAAGTGACATCGCTAAAGCAAGTTATGGACCTTAGCGTGGTTCGCTTAAGAAAATCAGGGCTCGCTTTAGTGATGGTAGCTGAAGCGGAGACTAATTTGTAAATACGAGACCCCCTGTTTTTGTGGGGTTCACATAAGTGCAAACCTAAGTTCTCTTAATCGACATCAGAAGAGATTTTTGTCCTTCCATTTGGGGTTTAACCCTCATTTTTTATTTTTTAAGCTATGTAAAACCCTTGGAAGCGATTTTGCACAGAATTTTTGTGCTAAATCATTTGGGTAATCTTTAGTGACCCTAAAATTTCAATTTCCTTTATCCTTTATGGATTTTAACATCAAAGTTTGGGATTTTGATTGACAAATTGGAAGATTTTTCAAGAACTTGAGTACGAGTTAAAATAGTGATTGTGAATTGATTTTTATTCCTTTTTGGAAATAGTTTTCTCCAATGAGTTTCAAATGTCTTGCATAACATTTCCAAGTAAAGATCTCCGGATTCAAACCTCATTTTCAAAATTGTATTGTTGAGTTGATTTGACCCACTTGTAAAAATGTATGTTTTGGGAGTTGTTATTTCCACAATACTATTATGATAACTTGATTGAATTATATTATATGACTTTGGACATTGTTTAAAAATGGAGGCTCGGGTCTTGAATTGACTTTTTGATTGAATTAAGGAAAGTGATCTTCTAAATCTTGTAAAACTTGTATAATCGTGTATTCTCCTTCATGGTATGTGATTTGAGAAGTAATGAGAATGAGGTGATCATTTTAATCATCCCACTTGATTGATATCAATGAATAAAAATAGGATTATGTAAAAGGCATTGTGTTGATAAATGTGCTTTGTGAGTTGTCTTGTGGTGGACCCCAATCGTTGATTGATGAAATACTTGATGGAATTATGATGGACTTGATTCGATTGAGTTATTGTCTCTTCCTAATGGCATGAAATTTCTTATTTGCATTGATTTATGTCATTTTGATGAGGCATGTGATATGAAGTCAAAGGAAAATTGTTTCGTCTAGTAATATGATATAAAGTCAAAAAAATATAGTTCCTCTAGTGATGTGATGTAAAAACGATGGAAATGATTTCGACTAGTGATATTTTGTCGAGGAAAAATGGATTTTTTTAAGTGATATGATATTATGCCAATGAAAAACACTTTTGGATAGTGATATTGTGCCAGTGAGAAATAGTTCCGACAAGTGTTTGATTATTGTGATTTTATGAAATCAATAATTGATATTGATCTATTTGATACTTATGATTGATCTATTTGATATTTGTGATTGGTCTATTTGATAATTGTGATTGATTTACTTGAAACTTGTGATTGACATACTTGATATACTTATTCATTGCTGAACTGTGACTATTGGATATGAATATGAAAATTGTGAACTGTGTATTGTGAGTTGTTAAGTTGAGATGATTTCTGTGCAGGTTGTAATTTGAATAGGTTCGATTGGTATGAAAGGAGTACTCATATTCTAGCTAGTTTTTTCTTGTTTATTATGTTACTTGTTGAGTACCGTGATGGTTTATACTCTGTCCTTGTTTCTACATTTGTATAGGTTTTGAACCTGGTTGCGATTGATTATTTTTCGTTTATGTATGAGGCTTTCATAGGACTTTGAGAGGAAGCTGCTAATCATTCCAACGGACCCTCTTCATTCTTATTTTATGCTTTGTTTTATTTTGGAACAAACATGAGACTTGAAATTATCTTTCAATTTTGTATTAATATATTATTGGTTTATACATGTGACAATCAAGTTTTGGGGTTATTTTATAGAATGAATAACATTTCCGTTGGTTTGTCATTATTGTTTTATTTTCCACATTCCTTTATTGTTGTTAGGTTTGAGGCTGACTTGACTCAATTGGATTGGACAAGTGCCATCAGGTCTATTTCTGGGTCATGAAAAATGAAGCTTATAAACCCAATTATGAAGATTCATGACAAATGAAGGTTATGAACACACTTATGAAGACTCGAGGAATTATTTAACGATTCCACTTGTGAGAACGTCGTTTATAAACTCGATTTCTTGATTAATGATCTCAGTTATCAGCATAAAAATGATGTCACTAGCCTATTGGATTTCACCCGTGTGAAAATGATACATGTTTTGAGGTCCAAAGTTTACAAGAAATTGTGGATACCATAAGAGAATACAATGTTGATGATTAAGTTAAATATGATATAATATCTTTGGATTTAGTTACGTGTAATAAAGCACTTATCGCGTTTAAACACTTCGCTATTTTTTGGTGCAGTTCAAGAAAACAACACCGACACTTTAGATGCAACAAAAAAAAGTTAAAGATGAGTTTCATCTAAATATAAATTTTAGAAATAATACATAAGTACCCCCTAATCTATGACCGAAATCTCAGAGACACGTCTAAACTTAACTAAAATCTCATTAGCCCTCCTAAATTATCTTTAAAAGGGAATAAACACACTCCAAAAGTTGACCTAGCATAGTAAGCGTGAACACTCTCTTGAAGGCAAGTGAAGATGAAGTTTTTTTTTAGACATGTCCTTTTTAATTGATCTATTTACAATTACTTAGTACATATAACTATTAACACTATAATTATACATATTTAATTATTTTCATTTCTTTCTTTGTAAAATATAATTTACATCCTCACTTTAAACTTTTATTTTTTCCTGTTATTAATTTTTTATATTTTCATTTTCAATTATTTAAAAAATGTACATGTTTTTTTTATATTTAAAATAATAATAATTACATTAATTTTAATGTTTAAATTTTTTTTTGTGTTGTTTTATTCACTTATTTTGATATTTGTCTGATATTAACTTATATTAAATACAAATATATGAAATTAATTTGGAAATTAATCAAAACTAAATGTAAAGAAAATATAAAAAATAAATAAATCAACGTAAAAAAAGAGAGCAAAAAATGAATGAAGTTCTAAAAAAACATAACAAAGTAATAGGCCATTGTTTTTAATTTTTTTGTGTATTTACTTAGTTTTAAAATAAAATATATAAATTAAGAAGATTATTTTTTTAAGAAAATAAAAATAATATAAGATAAAAAGATTTTTTAAATGTTTATACACAGGTGGCGTCACGTGTTATGCACTTACACTATCCTAATCTATTAGTGTATAACTTGTCGTTATTTATACTAGTCAGATCACTTTAACAAATCACATCAGTAAAGTAATCATGTAAAAACAAGAGATTTGAGATTATTGAAAGATTGTTTTCATTAATATTAATCCTTTGTTGTGTTACGCATTTGCTAGATTTGATTAGACCTTTGGTTGTTGATAGATTTTTCTTTATTTTCTTTTTTTGTGAAAGATTTTTAGATTGTATTAATGTGACAACATATTTGTTGTATGGTTGTCGCTAATTGGAGTTTGAAATTGAGATGTCTTTAGTAAAACCAAACTAAGAGTGAGTTTGGTATGAATGCAGATATTTTTCTATTTCTTTTTATGTTTGGTTTATCAAAAATTAAAAAATATTTTTCTTAGTAAAAAATGTTCCTTAAAGTAAGAAAAAATAACTTTCGTAATGAAATTAGCAAAAACAGATTATATTGTCTCCTTCAATGTCCAAATCCTCAAAATTACCACGATACAACAACCACACAGTCAACCTCATCACCTCCAGCTCATCTAGTGGGAAAATAAAAAATTTCATTCAGAGTATTCTATATTTAGTAGAGATACATGAAAAATAATTT